GCATTGCCGGTGCAGAAAATGCCAGCGCCTGGCTACTGAAGGAACACAGGATGCTTCCCCAGGGCCCAGCCCGCGGTGCACCCCAAGTCTGGGCGAATCTTCACAGGTCTTTGTTTCTGGCCATTAGCACTCACGACTTCAGAGAAGGATCTTCGTGCAAGAGAAAAGAGGCTGGATGTGAATCACTTCTGCAAAGCCATGGGACTTTCTGGAGCCTGTTTGCTCTGAGGACAGACTCCAGATGCAGGCTTGTAAAGGGTCCTCAGCCTGGTTGGGCGTCCTTCAGAGCAGGGATGTCTTCTTCCCATTGCTGTTGCAGAGGAAATGCACTCCCCATCTGGACATCCCTGGCTGGACGGGAGAACTCCAAAGAGACAGCAGGGGATGAGAATAACTGATGTGGGCCTGTGCAAGAACAATCTCAAAAGCTCCCCAACAAGGCAACCCTACAGCTGGATAGAAACAGCAAGTATAGAATGTGTTGGGCCTGGGCACGTGGTGGAAGATGCTGCCCGGGCCATCACCTCTGGAGGCCTTAGGAGGCATGCTGCTCACCTTGGACCTGGAGAAGTACCCGGCACCCCAGGTCACTTGTGCCTCCTCACAGAGCTGTCTTAGGGCAGGGGAGTTTACCCAGAGGGAAACCCAACCCCATTTAATATAGGACCTAGACGTTTTTGGAGCTTTGGCAACACGAGCTTTCATAATTTAAGAATTCGGCTTCTGATGAGAGGCCTGTGTTCAAATTCTGCCCGTTATGGAGCATGTGAACCTGAAGCAGAGACATAACCCTGTCTCCTCCCTGGGGAGGTGGAAGCAGAGAATCCAGATCCTGGTCTACACTGTGTCTACCATGAGGCCTCTGTGAGCACCCAAGAGGGGGCTCATCCTGGGTCTGGGATATCTGAGGCCTTGGGTGGGGTGAGGAAAGCCAGGGTGAGCTTGTGACCAACTCCAAACTTTGTGGGAACCTGAAGCCCTTTCTCTAGGGGCCTCTTTAGTTGCTTTATGCATCTCTGTGCCTTTTCAAAGCTGTGTAACCATGGGTCAGATCCCAACCTCTCTGGGCCACTACCCTCACATGAAAATAAGTGTAATACTTGTGCTGCAAGATATGGGTGATGATTAAATAACGCTCCTGAAGTGCTTACCAGTGTACCAGGCACGTTGCAGGAGCTTGAGAAACAGCAACTCTCAAATCCGCATCCTGCTCCATAGACCCCATGACCCCGGGCGGCAGGTGTGTATACAGGTGGTGGGGTGGGCAATGGGATGACACACCTGACGGTTAACAACCTAGACTCAGAGCAGAAGGCAACGGAAGCAAGACTCCAACAGGAGAGGTAGAGTAACAGCCACACAGAGACCAAAGCAGCAGAACAGGGTCGAGGAGATGCCATATTCAAGGCTCCTGGCCCTGCCCAAGCTGAGATGGATGATTCTGGGACACAGGAACAAACAGACTGAGTTGACAACAGAAAATTCTTTGAAGACCTCAAAGTGGAAAGAAAGGTTTACTCCTTCTATCACACCCTCCCCTTGGACCCCTTCAATTCTAACGAGGACAGAGAAGACCCGCAGAGACTGCAGGGGGCCACAAACCTTTCCCAGCTTGCACACGGCACCCATTAATCTGTGCCCCTGAAGAATCCGCCTCAGGCAAATGGTACGTCCACGGTCCATCTTTGTTACCCTGTCACACTGGCAGCATGTATGCCCTCCTCTCTCCCATCTTTAATGCCCACACTGCCGTGAAGCAGCCCATGAGGTCTACCAGGGATGTACAGTAAAAACAGAAAAAATGTCCATTAAAAAAAACCCATAACCTGAGATGACTGAAGAGCAGATTCCCAAACCCCACCTGACTCTTCCAGGCACTTGGAGATGACCCCAAGCCCCCAGGCCCGGGGGCAGACAGAGTTGTGTGCCTGGGGAGGGCTGGCAGTAGTGCCATGCTACCCCAGACTGAGGGTCTGCCTTTAAGCCTACAGACTGGGTAAAGCCGGGCGCATCGACCTGTGGCGAGGGGCTGTGTTACGGCTCTTGCCACACCCCTGCTGAAGTCTGAGGTTGGCTAAAGAGTGGAGTCCCTCAGGGGGTGGCCATTCTCCGGAAGCATAATGCGAGTGCTGGTGCCTGTCTGGGCGGTGGGTGCGTAGTGGGCAGACTCGTGGAAGGGCCAGCGGAGGCATAGACAGCACAGGAGGCGGCGGAAGGTGCGACGCATCTCAGCATCCCGGCACGAGTACACCACTGCATTGACCAGTGAGTTGGCCTCGGCCAAGAGCAGGAAGTATTTCTCCACGGCCAGGACGTTGCAGGACTTGCAGCCCAGACCATCTAGAAGCAGCACCACCTGGCCTGGGGTCCAGCAGACCACGAACGCCCCTAAGGGATGGAGCCGGAAGTGAGCAGGCCAGCTGTGGATGCGGGGGCCCAGCACCTGCAGCTCTGAGCTCAGGGTGGCAGGCCTCTCCAGAGCTCAGGTTACGGCTCTACAGCTTACAGGGCAAGAACTGCCTGTCTTACCACGTTGGTAGTGTGATGGGGCAGTATGGCTAGGAGGGGACACTTTTCCTAACTGGTACATGGTAGACGGGACCTTGGACATTTCTACATGGAGATTTGTTTTGTAGGGGAAGGGAGGTGGCTGTGGGACAGGCTGGTTACTCAGCGGGGGAAGGGGATAATTGGGAGGAGTTGCTACTTGCTTTCAGGGTTGGGGAATGTGTCCTTCTCACCTCTCCCCTCAGACTATTCTGCAGTCAACAGCCAGACTGACCTCGTCACTCCCTGCTAAGAACTCTTAAGGACTTTCCTGGGAACTCAGAACAAAATCTGACTCCTGTCCATGCCCTTGCGGGCCGTGCTGACCCTCCCTCTGGCTCCGGGGCCAGCCACACTAGTCTCCCTCTTCTCTTTGGAGGTGCTGGCCCAGTCCTACTTGGGGCTCTCACCTTCTGTTCCCCTTGCCTGGAACTCTTCCCTTCCCCAGCACTCAGGTCTGTGCTCAGATACCACCTCCTTGGAGAACATTCCTCACCCAGATCCTCCCCTCCCATCATGCTCTGGCAGGGCTTGTGGCCGTCAGGGAGAGCTGTGGCCCTGGGCTGCTTAAAGGCCCCACTCACCCAGGATGATGACAACTGTCTTGACCAGGTTGAGTGTGGTGTCGCGGTATCGGGGGTAGCTGGTGACATACTCCGCCATGCCCTGCACACGCTGCCGCACATAGAAGAAAATGTGGGTGTAGACGGCCACCATGAGCAGGAAGACAAGCAGGCTGGACAGAGCCCAGGCAGTTAGGTAGGAGCGGCTGAGCAGGGGGGCCATGCGTGAGCAGCGGTCCAGGGCACAGAGGCAGTTCCAGACGTGGGAAGGCAGCAGCCCCAGGGCCAGCGCAGGCACCCACACGCCCACAATGAGTATGATGACACGACCACGGGGCAGGCGGCTATGCAGCTGCACGGTCATCACGCTGCGGTGCCGCTCCACAGCGATGGCCAACAGCGTGGCCACCGACGCTGTCAGGCTCGTGTCTAGGAGGCCCTGACGCAGGAACCAGGTCTTGACTGAGAGCCGGGCTGTGCGCGGGCCGGTGTGGAACATAAGGAAGAGGTAGGCCACACCAGCGAAGAAGTCGGCTGCAGCCAGGTTGGCCAGCAAGTAGTAAATGGGCTGGTGGAAGCGGCGGTTGGAGGCAATGGCCATAATGATCAGCAAGTTGGTCAGCAGCACCAGCACGCTGACCGTCAGCCCCAGCGCCACCACAACCACATCCTTGGGCCGCCAGTGAGAAGTGAGCTCCTTGCCACTGTTGTTGTAGAAGAAGCGGATAGTCTCGTTGTAGTAGCACTGGCCCATGGCGACCGTCTGGGGGCACAGAGGGAGAGGTCAGTGCAGGAGGAACTTGTTAGAAGGACAGAGGAGGGGGCAGCAGCCAGAAGGGCCTCCGGCCAGGACAGGAAGGGCAAGGGTCTCAGACTCAAATGCCTGGATACAAAGTGGCGGTGGGGACCACAGTGACCTAGAAAATCTAGCTCTGTGGAGGTGAGGCTGATGTTGCTTATTTACTAATAAAACTCTTATTAAAGATATCCCCCAAATCAAAAGACTGTCTGGGTTTTGTTTGTTTTTTAACCTAAAGCAGCAAAACAAAACCCATCTGCCCTTGGGCACCAATCTGCCACCAACCTGCGTCGGTGTGGGGGTGGGGGTTAGAGCAGGACAAAGGGGCGTGAGCTGTAAAAGTCGCTCAGGGAGGGTCCTTTGGTGCTGGGTTCAGTGCACAAAGTAGGGCCCAGGGAGCGTGTGTGCGCAGGGTGGGGGGACACTGCTGGGACCCTGCAGGCGGTAGGCGGTCAGTGCCAGGGCTTGGAGGTGAGAGGTGTGACCAGGGTGGACAGGGAGGCAGCTCCAGAGGCTGGTCGGCGTACTTTGGGCACCCAGTGCTCCCGATGCGGGCATCAAGCTGTTTCACGTAGGACCGAGGACCCTGGCGGCCTCCGGAACAAAGGGGGCGGTCAGGGAGGCGGGGGCTGGTCGGGCCTCCCGGTGCCCCCAGGCTGGGGAAGGAGAAGGGGGAGGGGAGGAGTGGGTGGCGCCCGGACCCAGCGGGCACATGCCGCCCCCGCCCCGGGACCCGCGCCCACCCGCCCCTGTCGGCGCCTGCCTCACCTGGGCCGCCCGTCACGCCGCAGACAGGGCGCCCTCGTGGGGGGTCAGGGAGGGCCCCAGAGCCATGGCGCAGCGACCTCGGCGGGAGCCGATGAGCTTCAGGGCGCGCCGGCCGCGGGCGGCCGAAGGAGCGCGGGAGGCGGGGTCCCGCCGCCCCGGCCCCGCCCCCGCCCCGGCCGCGGCGCCCCGCCCCGGCCCTGCCACCTGGGGAACGCCCTCCTCCGCGGCCGCGGCGAGGACGGGGTCGCCCGGAACCGCAGCCCCCCTATTTCCTCTCCGCCTCGAGGCCCCTCGGTCGCACCTCTCCACTTCCGGCGCGGGACTCCCACCTCGCACGGGCCCCCGCACACCTCACACGCCCGCAGCTTGCAGCCTTCGCGGGCTGAGGCCCTCGCGGCTGGAGAGGTCCCGCGGTGACCTCGCGCCGCCGGAGCGCAGCTCAGGGGGGGATCTCAGGGTCCGCGCCCCCTCCCCGGCCCCACCCCGCCCCCTCCCTCGCGTCCAATCCATCGCTGAGCTCCAAGCCACGCCCTGATCCGACCGACCTCCCACCGCCGGGACCCCGGCCCTGCCTCCGCCTCCCAAGCTGAGAACCGCCGCGCGCGGCCGTCACTGGTGCCCCCCAGGGCCTTTCCGCCCCAGCTGACCCTTCGGCCGCGTCGAGTTCTCGCAATCCCGCCCCCGGGACCCCTCCCCCGGCAGTGCTGCCTCCCGCCCCGTCCAGGGCTCCCACGGCCCGGAGCACACAGCCCCATTGTCCCGGTTATCTGCACTCTGTTATATTTGTTTGATTATACAGGACGGATCAGCACGCCGAGCTCCGGGAGGGCCGGGCCGGCGTGACTCAGCCGGGTGCCCAAGCCCAGCCCCTCCTGCCTGGAAATGTGTAGGGGTGTTTGGGATTTAAGAAAGGGGGTCTTGGTTCCCCTCGTCGGTAAAATGGGGCCAAAGGAGGCTTGCCCTTGCTGACCTCTCCCCTGTCACCCTGCCCTGGCAAAAGAAAGGCACTCAAGGGCATAAAGGACACAGTTTATTCGGTGGCCATCAGACTCCAGCACCACCAGGATGCTGAGTCTGGGCTGCCCACCCCCTCCAAGAGCTGGACAGTTGGGCTCAGCCAAGGAGGGCAGGCAGGTGGGGGAGTGGCCACAGCAAAATAGCAAAAGCCTCCCCCCACACCTTGTCCCAGAGGTCAGAGACTGGGGTGGACCCCCAATGATCCCGTGACCTGTACTGACCCTGAGTACTGATATTGACCCTAGCTAACCTCTGAACCTGAGTGGCCCTGATGCTTGGCAGACCTGTGTCTAGTCTGGGGATCTGAGTACATTGCCCCAAAAAGGGTTTTAATCCTCCCCCAGGCCACATAGCTTTTCTTGATAGTAATTTTCCAGAAGCTCCAACATTGAACTACTGGGAGAAATGGGACCATCTTCTCAGTCCTAGGCCTCTTGGTAAGAGTCCCGGGATGGTCAGAGATGGTCATCCGTTTCCTCAGGCTGGGGGTCTGGGCAGCAGGTAGTCTTGGGCACAGCCTCACTGTGCAGCTTGGAGAGCAGCCGGGCTGTCTCCTGGGTGATCTCAAAATGTTTGGGCAATGGGGCGCGGCGCAGCGGGCTCCCCTCAGGGGAGGAGGTGGTGCTGCCGGGTCCCTTCCGCCGCAAGCTCCCTCGGGGTACTGGTGTGACAGGGGTCTCCTCGCACAATTTGGAAGCTACCAGGGCCAAGCTGGATAGCTGGTGGGTGACAGGCCGCACACCCCCCCGGGGATACTTCACTGGCTGGCGGCTGAAGTGGCCACGGGACTGTGTCCCCAGGAGTGAGTCCTCAGGGCCTTTGCTGGACACTGTGGGATGGGTGATCAATGCTGAGCACCCCTAAGTCCTCTGGATATTCCCCAGGGAATCATCTCTCAGCCAAGCTACCATGGGGGGGCAGGGGCACCCCCCCAGAACTCTTGCACCACCACCCCAACACACTCACCTTCCCCTCCCTCATCTTTGGTGTTTTCGGCCACTTCCCCTCTCTGGTCACTCTGTGGAGTTGGAGTCTGCAGGGAGAAACCCAAGACCAAGACCCCAAAATAAAATCCCAGTTCTTCAAGATTCTTGGAGAGCTGAGCATTTGTTCCTGGACACGCAAGAGTTCCTTTGCAGTTTTTGTATCTGGGGAGATAATGCCCTTAACAGTGTAGTGCCCAGAGCAATGTTCTTAAGCTCAACTGTGGGCTCCTTGAGGATAAGGACACCCTTGCTCAGCAGAGGGCCAGCCCAGGGAGTGACTCAGCCATCTTTGCATTAAGACCAAGATAAACTATCTGTCTCCATCCTGCTGTGTTCTCTGTGACCTTATACCTGCTTCTTAGTTTATCTGTATATCCTTTACTTTATCCTTTAGCTAAATGCTCATAGTGGCTGGAGTTCTTTCTACATCCTAACAACTTTCTTGGTCATTCCATTTTGCACGGATGCACAGGCTCACCAGCAGATGCTTTCCCAGCTCTGGGCTGCTCTGCTTTCAGGAAGTCTGCTCTCAGCAAGGGAGGGTGTAGCAGTATCTGAGGGACAGGGGAGCCCCCTGCAGGATTCTCAACTGTAAAAGGTTTTCACTAACAGTATCTACATCCCGGGGCTGTGGTGAGGATGACAGGAAGCTAGTAAAGCATGTGAGCATAGTAGGCAGGCAGCCAAGGGCAGCCCATGACCCCTCTTTGGTCTACTTCCTCCCACCTTCCACTCATTCATTACAGGCTGGAGCTGTGCCCTAACACACTATGCGTGTTCCCACCTCAGGGCCTTTGCACTGGCTGTTCCCTTTGCCTGGCACACCCTACTCCTGATCTCCACCTCACTCACTCCTCCCTTGTATCCTTCCAGTCTTTGCTCAAACCCCCTTCTCCATGAGACCTGCCCAAAGCATCCCACTTACTGCTACCAACTGCCCATCTCTCACCTTGGTGTCCTCAATGTCCCTTACCTTATGCTACTCTTTTCTCCAGAGTACTTGCGACCTTGTAACATCCTATAGAACTAACTTTGTATCCTATTTCTTGTTTTTATTGTTGGTTTCTTTCCCACTAGACTGCAGGCACCAAGAGGCTGGGTCTTTAAATGTTTTGTTCATTGATGTATCTGTTGTGCCTAGAACAATGCTTGGCACATAGGTGTTCAATGACTATTCTGTTAAAGGAATGAATGTTAGTACCTCTTCAGGGCTTGTACCCTGTTGTTATCCCATTATTATCCACCACTCCATTCCCTACTTTTCCTTCCATAATGAGCACAGGGTACATAAAGAAGAGAAAGAGGGAAAGAAAGAAAAATTTTAAAGAGAAGGAAGACAGGAGAGAGAGATTAGAAGGAGAGAAGGCCCTTCTCACGTCTGTGGGCCAGAGGGTTCGTACCTCAGAGGGTGTGGCCTCGAGATGCTCCTCAGGGGCACTGTGGGGCTCCGGGTCTGGGTCAGGGTCCAGGGCTAGGGCTGGGGGCAGGGAGTCTGGAGCAAGGTTTGGGGGTTGTATCTGGGGGCTGATTGTGAGGGGCTCGGGGGCTGGGCTGGGGTCTTGCGGTGGGGGCTCAACAGCCAGGGGGAGTTCGTCCATCCCGAAGATCTGTTCATAGTACATGATGAGGAACTCGACAAGCTGTGCCTGGTGCCCGGAGTCTAGCAGGCAGGTGACCGGGCCAGCACCGGCTGTCCCTGGGCCATCTGGTGGCCGCAGCAGCGTTGGTCCAAACACAATGCCCAGGTTGTTAGCAGACATCTTGTTTTCCTCAAACTGTGCGGCCACCCTGGGGATGGTGTGAGAAGGTTCAAGGCTTGGAGTACACGGTCATTGGTCATCAGGTAGGACCTGCAGGCCAGGCTAGTGGCAACTTGCCCAAGTCATGGGTAAGTGGTCCTGGTCATTGTCTGAGACCAATAGCCACGTGCTCAGCAACAAGTGTCAGGGGTCAGCATGCAAAGTCAGGAGTCATGTATTAAAGTTCATAGCTCAGAAGTCACATGCAAAAGTCAGAGGTCAGTGTCAGGGGTCAGTCTCAGAGGTCGGTAGTCCCAGGTCCAGGGAAGAGGGTCACAGATCTATTCCTTGGGTCACATTTCAACATCAGGGACAGTGCACACCTGAACAGATGAGCCACCAGGTGCCGCAGGGTGTTGTAGTTAGAGTCAGGCAGGTGCACCAAGAGGTTCTTCAGCAAGCGGATAACCTCAGGGCTGGGGCTGGGGGTCCCGGGGTTGTGCCCGGGGTCTGCATGCAGGGCCTTAGCCAGAGAGATGAAGCCGTCGTAGAGGTGGAAAGGGACCACGGGGTCAGTGAGCTGGGGGTGGAACGGTGAGGGGGACACAGGTGTGGGTGAGCTGCAGAGGGTCCTCAGCCTGAGCCCGCCCGGCCCTGCACCCTGAGCACCCACCTCCTGGAGGAATCGCTTGAGGACACTCGAGATGTCATGAGGAGAGTTCCCTGACAGATCCACCAATGCTCGGCCGTTCTCGAAAGCCTGGCACAGCCGCTCCACTCGGACCCGGGACCCACTGACCCGATAAATGCCCTGCAGAGCAGGGGCAGGAAATGGACACCTGGCTTGCAATCTTGCCATTGAGAGGGCCAGGTCACTAGTGGGGATAGTCAACTGGCAAGGGGCAAGACACACCTGTACACCCAGGGCACGGTGTTCTATCTCTGCTGTGCACTTGGTGACCACAAAGGGCACCTCCTCCGGGAAGTCCCTCGGCAGCTGCAAGAAGTCAACCCCAAAGATGGGAGTTCGGGCTGGGAGCTTCCTATGTCCACAGAGGATCAGTAGAGTCTCAAGGCAGCGCTTGTGGCAGGTCAGAAAGCACTGAGGGGAAGGTCATAGGGTCAGGGAGGTCAGCAGGGGTCAGTGGGGTCAGAGAAGGCCATAGGGATCCTCAGGGGGCAGGGGGCTCACATGAGGTTATCATATCAGGGCAGGTCCCAGGATGGGAAGGTCATAGGGAATCTCAGCTCAGGGAGGTGCCTGGGGTCAGGGAGGTCATTGGGTAGGCAGCCCAGGCCACACCTTCTCACACTCGATCCCGCTGACCATGAAAGCCTCACATTCGCGGCACTTGGCAGGGCCCCGCAGCCGCCGCAGTTGGTGTGTCTGGGCTGCATTGGACAGTGTCCACTTCCTGAAGGGGCTGCCTGGCCCATTCTCCAGCCCATCTCCCAGGTCTGCAGGGAGACAGGGTCAGGGGTGCCTGGTCTACCCCCTACCCCACGCCGCCCGCTTCCTGCCTCACCAGGGTCTCGCTCCTCAAAGTCATCCGAGGACTCGGTGCCTATGGATGAGACCTTTACCAGCCGCCTCGCGCCGGGGCCTGGAGTCAGAAGGTCACAGAAGTTGGGGACCACAGGGTCATGGGGCGGCTCCAAGGCTAAGGGGACATTCCTGGCTTTCAGGCCTTCTAGAACCACCCACAGATGCCCTTAGGGAAATGGTCGGAGGTCAGGGGGAGTCAGACAGGTCAGAGGTTAGTGGTGAGAGAATGGGTCAGCAACCTGAGGAGTGGTTGAGAAGTTGGATCAAGAGGACAGGTCGGAGGTTGAGGGAAATAGGTCAGGGTTGTGGGTAGAGGTCAAAGAATAGGTCAGAGACTAAGGGTCAGAGCCTGGTCAGGGGCTGGAGGATGGTTAGAGACCCGGAGTGGGTCAGGGCTAGGTCCCGGCCCTACCTGGGCTGGAAGAGGGAGAGTCCAGGGACCGAGACTCACTGCCACCACCCACACTGTCCACATCGCTGCCTGGAGTGGGGCCCGGAGTCCCTAGGAAGGGACAGGTCCATTAGGACGAACCCATGCCCCAGCACCACTCGCAGCCATCCGTCTGGGCATTCACCCTGCCAACATTCCCCTCACCCTGTACCTGTGTCCTCCCAAGGGCCTGACTCAGCCACACTCTCATCCAGCCGTGGAGGTGGGGGGCCGGAAAGCTTCTTCCTTGTGTCCAGAGGGGAGCTGAAAGGAGAGGATTGAGGGCCCAGGTAACCAGCAACCTGGCCTGGGAGGACATCACCCACGTATGACTTGCAGGCCTGCAGTAACCCCAGAGCCCAGAGCTCTCCCAGGACTCAGACAAGACCTCACTGCCAAAAACGAGAGCCTTGCCGACCGAATTGAAGTGCTGCGCCTGTGAGCTCTCTGACCTTGGGGACTCAGCCCCACAGTGCCAACAGCCCGGTACAGCAGCTCCCAGGCTCATCCCACCCCTGCCCCAGGGGCCCACCTGTGCACAGGGGCCACGAACTCCTGGAAGGAGAAGGCAGGTGGCGGGGGCGGCGGTGCCTCAGGCCGCAGCGCCCGCACGAACTCCTGGTAGCGCTGGCCAGGCTCGAAGGGCTCGCAGCACTCCGCCAGGGCGGAGAAGGTACGCGGGCCACGTTCCGCCTGCGCCCCCCGCAGGCTGAACAGTCCCAGGGTCACCTGCAGGGCGCAGACGGGAGAAAGAGGCGGGGCCTGACCTTGGAGCTCCCAGCGTGATCGGGGCTTGGGGGCGTGGCCGCCGGCGAAGTGGGAGGTGGCTTAGAGACGAGGGCGGTGGCAGGGGCTCGGGGAGTGATCGGACCCAGGCGGATCAGCCGCGGGGCAGGACCCCAACAGGGTGGGGCTGAGGCAGAGGTGCAGTTAGGGACTGGAAACGGCAACTGGCCGTCGGAAGAGATGGAGCAAGTCCTGGTGCCCTGGAGTCTGTTTTGGGGCAGGGGGCACTCAGCTGTGGGGGGGCGGCAGCGGGAAAGGGTCTCACCCGCCGCAGTACTTCGTCTCCCTGCAGCACCAGCTTGCGCACATGCGACACAATCCGCTGCTTGGCTGCCTCCAGGTCCTGTTGTCGCGCGTTGGCCTCACGGACGCAGGCATGGTACAGCACCTCGGCCTCCTGGGCCTGGGGAAACCAAGGCCAGGAGCGAGTGTAGGAGACAGGGTGGGGCGGCGTGCACCAAAGAGCTGGGGGGAACGAGCTGGGTCCCCACCTTGGCCTGGGCCTCCTCTCGGGAGCGTCGCCGCCGCTCCTGCTGTTTGCTGGGTCCCGGCGAGGCCTGGGGGGCCGGGTCCTCAGGGGACACCTGGGAGCGCACCCGCAGGTCCTCACTGCGCTGCATGTACTGGAGCTGGGCCCTCCGCAGCGCCTGCACGGCTTCGTTCTGGGTGCAGGAAGGTACGGTCAGCAGCCCTTTCTCTGTCTCTTCTCCCACCCAAGCCTCCAACCCTTGCCTCACCATCCGCTTCTGCTCCTTCATCCACTGTTCCTTGAACTCTTTCCGCCACTTCTCAATCTCAGTCCGCTTGGCGGCCAGGGGCTGGCAAGGATGGGGGATGAGGATCCTAAGGGGACCTGGTCTTTCCATTTCCCATGGCAAGGGGCCTTTCATCCTCTGGACCCTTTTCTGGGTCTGCACTCTCCCCAGGGTGGTCTTCTCACACAGACCTGCTCTTTCCCATTCCCATGTCCCACAGAATCTCAGGTGTCACCTCATCCTTTCTGCCTGACCCAGAGATGCCAAGGCCGTCTTCTGGGAACACTCAGCAGCCCCCCCAACTTCCAGTTTTGCAACACCACAGGAAGACTGGTTTGAATCTCTGCCGGGTAACCTTGGGCAAGTTCCTCAGCATCCCTGGGCCTCTGCTTCCTCATCAGTAAAATGGACCTGATGGCAACGGTGCCTTCCTTCGGGGGAGCTGTGATTGCAAATGGAAGGAGACATGAAGGACAGCAGGGCCCCCTCACCTGGTAGTAGTCTCTCTTCTGCTGGGCTACTGTCTCTACGGCCAGGGCTCCCAGGCTGAGATCGTGCTCCATGAACAGGGTGTAGATGTACTGCAGTGGCATGTGGCTCTAGGATGGGAAGGGTGGCTGTTAGAGGATGCTGAGGATCTGTGGGGGGTCAGGGCTGGGGTTCTGGAGGGGTTGGGCTCTAGGGGGGCCTGGTCATGGCTACCTGCTGGTGGATTGACACCTTGCCCGCCTCGGCAATCTTCATGATGCTTTTGGCAAACTCCAGCTCTGGGGGAGATGGCAAGGATCTGAGTCAGACAGAGTGTGGGCACTGCCTGGGGTCTGGGCTGGGCAGAAGGGGCCCTCACCATAGCTGGCTCTCTTTTCTGTCCAGGCCAGCAGCTCCTTGGCATAGCGGCTCCAGGTCTTGGCGTAGTCCAGGGATGCATCCACACCCCCCTTGGTCCGAATGAGCCGCAAGTCCAGTTCCTCTGCTGGGGTAGAAGGGTGGACATCTGACCTCTGAACCCTGGCCTCCAGTGGAAGCCTTTCTGAGCCCCCGACCAGACCAGTGGCTCCTATTCTATATCCTATGGCTCTCCCAAACATTACTTTGTGATCACTTGCCCAGGTTGCAGTTTTACCCAGATTTTCCACCCAGACTGGGGGCCCCTGTGGGAAGAGGCTCAGCACTGTTGTGGGCACTGCCATGTCCCTCATGCACAGAACAAGCAGCTGGTAGTGAGTCATTTAGGGAAGGACTCTTCTGCCTCCACTCCCTTGGCCACAAAGCCCCCTACCTGTAAGGGGTGCAGGACCCTCCAGAGAGGAGCCACTCCAACACCTGCTTTCACTGGGCTGAGATAGAGGGAGAAAGCACTCAGGAGCTGGCAGTGTAGGGCCCCACCTCCCCAAATTCTTCCTGCCTGAGGGCCCCCTCCTGCCTTGGCCCTGCCCCTTATTACCACAGTGGCTGTGGAGGTCTGGTCAGGCTCTGGGTCTCCGGAAAGTGCAGAGTCTCCACTCAGCATCTCAAGGGTCCTGGGAGGTAAGGGTGTCAGGATGCCACTGTCCATCCCATCACTTGGCCTAGGGGTCCTGGGGACCCCAGGGCAGTTTGGGAGATGGTCCTGGACATCTCTTGTATCCAGGAGATCTGAGGGTTTGGGTTTTGGAGGGGAACCAGGTGCACTTTTTTACGGGACTTCAGAGTTTGAAGGTTTCCAGGTAACTCGGGGGTTCATAGAGTGGGATTATAAGGATCTGAAATGTTTTAAGAGGTGACAAGAAGGCTATGTGGGGGTCCTAGGACCACTTTGGGGATTTCTAGTGGATTTGGGAGGTTGCATTTGGGTATGGTTAGGTGTTTTGGAGAACCCCATCTTAGATTTCTCAGATTATAAGGAAAGTGAATCCAGATGTTGTAGGTTTCTAATGGGATTTCAGGCACCTAAATGGTTAGGGATTTGGGGGATCCTGGCAAGATTTGGAGGTGACCCAGGCTCAGACTCACACGTTCCCCAGTGAGATCTCAAGGTTGTCCAAGCTCCGGAAGATGTCACTGTACCTCTTCCTGCTCTCTGGAGCTGGGGGTAGCCCTGGGGGAGGGGAGTGTCACACACAGGCCAAGTGAAGCCTCCCTCCACCCACAGAACCTTGGCCGGTTGTTAGGAGGGTGTGGAGAGAGAGACAGAAAGAGGAGAGAGACAAGACAAAAAAGAGGAGAGAGAGAGAGAGCGCACAAGCCAGCGCTAGCTCTGGCTCCACTGGCGGGCAGGATGGGGTGGGTGTCTGAGCTGGCGTGGAGGCAGCGTGGGCTGGGGTGGAGTTGGCTTAGGGCAGGCAGACAGATTCAGGCACAACCCAACACTGGGACAGCTGTTCAGAGTAGAGACACCCTCCCATCCCGCCCCATAGGGGCCCAGAAGCAGAGCAACAACACAGATGCCCCAGATGCAGCCACACTGTTCCTGGGGAGAAGGCCGGCCTGACAATGGAACCACATGGACTCAGGCCAGACAGATGGAAATACACGTGGGACAGGCCAGCACAGAGCCCGCAGCAGAAACACACATGGGGGGACCGAAACTAGGAGGGACACAGAGGGCGAGTGACACTCAGCATGCACAACAGAGACACAAAGGCAGCCGGAAACGCACGTCGGACCTTGCCACATTTCTGCCGCAGCCCACCCCTTCCTCGGGGCCCATACAGCACTGCCCCCTCCCCGGGCAGTGCAGGCACCAGATGGAGATCCTGCCGCGTCGCCCCCTCCATCAGCGGCCGTGACACCCTGCCCCCATCACAAATATCAGAAGCAGAAGCGGCCACTTCCCCTTCCTGGGCCCCCTCCCCCAGGCATCCGGGGTGAGGACTCCAGGGGGGGAGGGGTTGAGGGACTGGTGGCCGGGCCCCTCTCGGCTTGGGGGGCGTCTCTACCATGGAAGATCCCCGCATCCTCCCCATTCAGGACCTCTTCTCCTGGCTTTCTGGACGGAGACGGAGAGGCGGGGCCCTCAATTTAGGAGGCGGGGTAGGGTCAAGGGAGGCCCGTGTTGGATTGCGAGTCCCAGACCGCCTACCCGGCTCTGCCGCGTCCATGGCCCGGCCCGAGGATCGCTCCGCGAGGACTGGGACGGGGACGGGATCGCGCGCCGGCGGGGCCCAGCCCCGGTTTCCTGCCGCGGCCGCCGCCGCCCAGGTTCCGTGCCGCCCCGCCTCGCGGCCAGGCACGCCCCCGCGCCGCGACAGTCCCGCCCGGCCCGCGCCCCGAAGCCGACCCCGCCTCAGGCCCGCCCCGCCTGTCGGGTGGCCACGCCCCGCGGCCCGGAAGCGTGGGCCTCGCCCACTGCCCGAGCCCCGGGAGATGCTGAGACCGGGGCCTCCGGAGTGTCCACCCGAGGCCGAGACGCCCGAGACCCGGACACCTCAGGACTTCTTCCTGGCCACGCTTCCTCGCCCCACCTCTCTCTCTACGGCCCGACCGCCCCCCCTCCCGGCGGTGGCCCCGCAGAGCCCACGCGGCCCGGGGGCCTGTCTCGGAACCTCCCACACTGCCTGACTGTTACACCCGTCTGGGAGACTCTTAGGCCCCTTAAACCAACACGGCCTGATGGGGGCAAGGGGCCCCCTGGTGGAGGCTGGATATCCTGACAGATTCCAGCGGACTCTTTTAAGACCTCTCTCTGGAGCAGGAGACCCCTAGCCTGGGGGAACCCCCGTGAACCCTCACAGCTAGGTCAGGCTCCGAGACCTCCGTTACAGCGCACCTGCACCCGTCTCCGGCATGCAGGGCTGGGGCAGAGAGCACATCCAAGTGATTCCCAGCAAAGCCCTGCTTCAGAGTGCTCTCCGGATCACCCCAATTGTCTCAGGGATTCCACTTGATCATGGCAGCCCCTCTGCCAGGTAGGTGGGTCTGGCGCCCCTACTCTTCCGGAGACCTTGGTCGGTGCTCAGGGGACACGTGAGGCCCACGGGCATCCATGGCTTATCCCTGCCCCTTCCCACCTCTGGCTCCCGGGGTCTGCCTTGGGCTGTGGACCACACTCCCAATGTGGAAGCCAGACAGGGGTGCACTGCTCAGGATAACCAAAGGGTGAGGGTGGGAAAGGGCCAAGAATCCCTGCCGAGCCTGCTCCTGGATCCCCTGGCCTGAGGTCTGCACATGCAGCTTGTCAAAGTTACAAAAATATATCCACACCCTGCATTCCATGGAATTTCTGGCTGGAAATAGATTTCATGTTTCTAATTGCTTTTTAAAGGTTTTGGCTGTTGACAAAGGAAGAAATCTCAGACTGACTGTGCGTGACACACTGCTCTCAGGTCGCCTACTATGCAATTCCTGAGTTGTAGTGAGTGAGCGTCCGCAGGAAGTGAGGACGGCTTCGTCACGAGGGCCAAGACAGGCTACTGGTCAGAGCCTGGATGGTGATGGCACTCACGTGGTGCAGGACCCCGAATGTGTCCTGAGTTAGTGCTTGTAATGGTGCGGACTGAACTTTCTAACATCTAATACAGCCTGAAAGAGGGATGTTATTTTGTATATTACTGAAAAGAGAAAAATGTTGTGGATCCTTAGAAACCTCCAATACCTGAGGCATCCAAATGTGCAGTTGAACCCACAGAGATAGGGGGCGCTTGTTAAGCCAGGAAATATGTAGTGCTCTCTGGGCACAAAGCTCAGCCCATCCCAGTACTGAATGTACAGCAGAGAGTATGACCTCATGGTCCGTGGCAGGGTGCCAGGACCTTCCTCTGTGACCACCCTGCCCCATGACCCCACCTGTGGTGCAGACAGAGGTGGAGGCTGGGTTTCTTAAAATCCTGGATGCTGCTTTATTTACCAAAGGTGCTGGCCTGGGGCTGGTTCTACCAGCCAGGCCAACAGCCATGTGGGGGCCCCAGCTCAGTCTTGTGGGGAAGGCTGGGCCAGCCTCATGGTGGGGGCTCCTGCCCAGTGGCAACAGAGTGGGTAGCAGGTGCCGGCACCGCTGCCTCAGGAAGGCACTTTCAGCTTCGGGGTCCCCAGGAAGAACTGAAGGACACGGTCAGCCAGGAGCGCCAGGCAGAAGTCCAGGAGCAGGACCTGAGCGATGATCAGCTTGAACTGTGGGGCAGGGAGCGTTGGTGAGCTGGATGCCTGCAGATGGGCCCAAGCCGAGTCCCAGGGCCCCACTGTCCACAGGGCCACTCACCTCCAAAGGGATGTCCACAAGGCCAAACTGGCTGTTGAAGTCAGGCGAGGAGCCCAGGAGCAGGCCTACAATGGCCAGGAGTGACACGGCCAGGCTCCACACCAGGGGTCTGTTCTCTGGCAAGCTCTCCATGAAGGGCGGGCCCTGGGGACAGGTGGATGGACGGCCATGTACCATGGGGCTGAGATGGGCAGGGTGAGCTCGGGCAGGGGCTGGGTCTCACCTTATAGTTGATGGCAAAGGTGGCCATCTGCATGGCCATGGCCATTATGTACACGGTGCTGTTGACCAAGCTCGGCTCAAACTCCTTGTACAGGTCCACAAACTGCTCCTGTCTGCGGGGATGCATGGGGGACAGGCCCCTTTGTGACTCTCCCTGACCCTGCAGAGCCAGCACCCTGCCTGATCTACCCTACTGGCCTGGCCCTGGCCCTGGCCATTGCCTGTGCATGCCCTCCTGCCACCCCGACCACAGGGACACCACCTCCTCTTGGGAGCACCCTGTCCACCCCTGTGCCAGGCAGCACTCACTTCTCAGGGCTCCGGGCCTGGGCCTCGCCATACAGGTAGACAAGACTCAGGAAATGAACGCAGAACTGGAGCACAACCGTGAGGACAGTGTAGGCGTTGAAGATATTAGGCAGGGGCCGCTCCCGGGAGAGGGTCTTGAGGGGCTGCAGTGGCAGGATTGGGGTCAGGCGCAGGCTTACTCTGGGGCCCCCTGCCTGCCTCCTTCAAGTTTTGTGCAGACAGCAGTCACCAGATCCTGGTGACCCCCAGAGCTTCACTTGCCCCCTGCGGCTGATTTCAGATGTCGCCCTTTTTCCCCACTCTAGAATAAACTCAAAGCCTCTTCGGGGCTCATGGTTGCCCCCAGCCCCACTCCAGCCACCAGGGCTTCCTCGTATCAGCTCCCATAGCCTTTCCACCTCATTCCTGGCTGGCTCCCTTCTTTGAAGAGTTAGCCTGGATGTCACTGGTGTCAGCCTCACACAGACTTCCCCAACTGACCCTGAGGCTCTCTGCCATAGCCTGTAACCCACTTTGTGGTTTTCCTCATCCTGCATGCTTTCTGAGTGGTCCTGACAATTGTCCCACGTCTGCCCTCTCCCTGCCTATGTGCGCTGTGTGGCCCACCCAAGACCCTAGCCTGTGGAGAGTGTGGAACTCCGAGGAGCCTTGGTGGGCACCTGCCCTGCCCCATCATAACGTGACGATGACAGTTCCACCCTAAGGGCTGCTGTGAGGACAAAATGGTCGACACACAGCAGCATCTCCACGAGCCTGTCCTGACTGGCCTAAGGACACCATTCCAAGAAGCCTCCCAGCACCTCTGGGGCAGGTGCCATGGCTTTGAGAGGCAGAGGGTACCCCTAGGCTGCTGCAGGAGGTCCTGCTTTGCTCCTGTCCCCGCCTACCTTGGAGCGGGAGATGAAGAGGAAGCAGCCGGCCAGCAGCAGCCCCTGAAGTGTGGCCTGGAAGTCACTGAACTTGACGCCCTCCAGGTAGAGGACACTCTGGCTGTAGGCCAGGATGAGGGCATTGAGCGCCAGGATCTTGAACATCTGCAGTGTCGTCACCAATGTACATCGGCCCTGCTTGATCACGTGGCAGACTGGGGGGGGGGGCAGGCAGGTGTGGGCAGGGGTTCCGGCCAGAGGGCCTGGGAGGGAAGAGGGGAGTGGTGTGTGGCAGGACTCACTGCACTGGATGGATGAGAGCTTGGAGGTGAAGGGTGCTGCGATGCTGGCATCTCCCAGCTTCACGATAGGTGTGTTCTCGTCCTCGAGGTCCCGTAGCACCTGGCTCAGGCGATCCTGTGGGGTAGACAGCAGGGGGTGAGACCCAGCGACAAAGGGGGCACAGGTGCCCCCCCTCCCAGGACTCACCCGCTGTGAGGCTAGCTGCTCCTCGGGGGGCGGGAGCCCCGACCTCTGCTTGGCCGCCCTGGAGGTGGCCCTGACTCCGCTGCTGCTCAGGATGGGACTGTCCCGGGGCCGCCGCCTCCGCTCAACCACCCGCTCAGGCGCATTGGCTAGGAGCGCGACACCTGCGGGGAGCGTGCATGTGTATGTCCGCCCAGGGGAGGCGCAGGGGCCTGCTCACCCAGGGATGGAGCTAGCGGCCCCGGAGCCAAACCTCCCCACCTCCCCAGCGAGTGCCTCTCAGAGGTCTATCTTACTTTCTACAAACTGCTTTAAAACACAATAAAACCCCAAATGCACTTAACACTGGATAGGTCAGAATTAAAAGAAGTTTATCGGCAAGAACTGTAATTCTAAGCGATAAGCGGTAAGTGACAGATGCTGTAGTTGGTAAATAAAACACACAAACATGTGAAAAGCATCAAGACTGCATTAAATTGTCAAACATCAGTTTGATGTCTGCATTGTCAGCACAGATCCAAGGCTACAAAAATGCTGGCAAACATTTTAGCTTCCACTGTCCCCTCTCCCCCTGGCCTTGGAACTCAGCCCTAAGCTCCCACACAATCCCTACATGGTACCCAGTGGCCCGAGCAAACCAACCTGTCTGGCCCTTGGAGCCTCCCTGGCCCCGCCATGCTGTTGCTCAAACACCCATGTCCCTCCCTGGCCTTGCAGCCCCTTGTACCCCCAATCCACTAGGCCCTGCCCCATTGCCCCGCTGCCTCGGTGTCTCTGATGTTAAGCCCATGTGACAGGATGATGGAGGAGCAGCAGCCCAGCCTGCAGGGCTCACCCACATCAGCATGCTTCAGGGCGCCCACATCATTGGTGCCATCCCCACACATGAGGGTCACGTAGCCCAGCTCCTTCAAGCTGGTGATGACAAACTCCTGCATGGGCAAGAGATAGGCCAAGTAAGGGCTGTGCATCCCCCAGGGCCCTGCCCAATCCCACCACCCCTTTTACCCACCTTCTGTTTGGGGGCCACGCGGGCAAACACCTGCACGTGGGGGATAAGGCAAAGCAGCTGCTGGGGGTCCTCAGCCTGCAGGTGGGCCAGGCCGTCACCCGTGAGGCAGAGCGCATGCTCCAGGGCCAGTGCCTTCAGGGAGCCTCGGGCCAGGGGCAGTGTGACACTGCCATTGATGGAGCGCCACTCACAGGGCCCACCTGCAGGGCCGGTACCCAGGTAAGGGCCATGGCTCAGCTGCTCTGGCAGACCCCCTTGCTTGGATCCCCGGATACGGTCCCAGTATTTCCTGGCCCCCACCCCACACTCCCAACCCCTCTCCACACCAACCTGCACCCTGGGCCCCAGACACCTCACTGGTATCATCCAGAACCCTCTGAGAACCCAGAGCCTAAGACCATGTGACAGGGCCAGATTCAAACCCAAGCAGCCTGACCTCAGAAGCGAGACACCCCACAACTGGCCCCTAACCCAATGAACCCCCCGTCCCTGGGGCCTGCCTGAGACCCTGCTTTCCCAGGGCTAGGACACTGCAGTAACTTCCTCAGGACAGACACTGCTTGCCATCCACTTCCTCTTTCCAGCTGGCTGGCTTAGGTACAGCCACTGAGTACCAAAGATGGCTCACCAGCCCTGGATGGCTCACTCTGGGCTGCCTTGGCTGGAAGGAAAACCTCCACCTGCTGTTGTTGTGGCCACTTTGTTACAGCGGCTTTGCTTGCCCATTAACAGTCCTGACAGCCACTTCTGGGTCATTTGCCCGTGACCCTTGAGCTTTCAAGAAGCCCAGTGTCTGGGGCTAGGACAGGAATCTGCGACTAACAGTGCAGACCACGAGATGGCTGAAAAGGTCTCGGAAGCTGCCCTGCTGGGCCATACCAGCACCCTCCTCTGGCCTACAGCTCAGTGACCCGCAGTGAATGTCCCTCCTGACCCAGGCCCTACACTGGGCACCATCCTGTGCCATCTGACAGATCCCACTCCACCAGCCAGAGGCGCAGGGACTGCACTTGCCCCTCTATTGGTCTGACTCTGGGGCACCACTTGCAGCCAACATGGTTACTCAGGAGTTGCCAGAGGCCATGAGCTCTGGAATCAGGATGCCTGGGTTCAAACCCTTAATAGCAAACCTGGTCAGCTTCCCCCTACATGGTGCGTGGGGATGGCAAGCCCTCTCATGTGGGGCAGAGGAAACCCTTGTGGTACTGCAGGCTGTCCTGGCCTGTGTGAGGGGTCCGGCCATGGTGAGCATGAACACCCGCTGTCCGAGTGCTCCAGAGAGGAGCACCTGTCATGAAGACAGCCTGCCAGACCCAAGGTGGGTGTGAAGAGATGAAACATGGATTGGTGTGACTACAACCAACTGCCCAGTTTGGAAATTGTCCCTCATCTTAGAACTAGTGATTGCCCTTGCGCTGCTGGACATGTGGGTGTAGAGCTCCGTGGCCAGATGGCCTGAGCACAGGGCAGGGTTGAGATCTACAGGCTTGTGTCACTGATATTCGGTGACCTACTCTCAGGCCTGGCATGCAAGCAGGCCACCAGATGAAGCTATTCTTGGACTCAAGGTGCCCCCTGCCCGTAGCCACATAGGGTGGCCTCACCTTTCTCCGTGGGAGGCTGCAGGATCAGCGTGTGCGCCTTCTCAATGAAATGCAGCTCCTGGGCCACATGACAGGCAGTGAGAGGGTTGTCACCTGTGATCATGACCACCTGGGGAGAGGGCAGAGGCTCAGCAGGGCAGGGCTCAGCAGGTCAGAACTCCAGCCCAGAGATCTGGAGATTTGAGTCCCCTCCGAGGAAAGCCACAGAAGTAGGTCCTGTCCCCTAACGGGGAACAGGCTTCCAGAGGCCATAACCCACCCCCCAGTGATGTTTTATGCAAACAACTTATATACCTGTTCTTGTCTGAGAACATCCGCAGCTTCACTTTTAATATAAACTGAGAACCGGCCCTTGGTGTGGACCCTCATGGCTTGGTAGCTGCCCCAGGCAGCAGATGGACACATGCTCCCGCCACCTGGCTTAAAGCCTGATTGGGGCCAGTCCCTCTGAGACTGCTTGCTGACCTCCCACACCCTGCACTGCATCTTGGGTCCCAGACTAGAAAACAAACCAGCAGGACAGACAGATGCAGCTGTCTGGGAATTGCCTCCACATCCCCTGCCCCAGCTGCAGCCCCTCTTCCTGAGGACGGGGTGGAGTGGGGGCACTGCACTCACTTCCCAGGGAAGTTGAGGCCCGAGAAGTGATGTGACCAGGGTGGGCACAGGCTGGGTCCCACAGCATCCTCAGGCCTGGGACAGCGTGAGCACCTGAGCCACGACAGAGTTCAGCCAAAATTCATGGTGTCCTTACTGCTGAGACCTACACACCACCCCAACTTGCCCCACCGAGTGTGGAATTGTCCCCTGCTGTCACAATTCCCCCTCTGGAAGGAACTGCCGAGACTGGTTTGCCCACTGCCCAGTGGTCTGGCGGGGAGGGGTCCGGCAGTCATACCCGATGGGATGCGTTCTGGATCTCGCGGATCACAGCCTTGGAGTCGGCCTTGAGCGGGCAGGAGACTACGATGAAGCCCACAAACTTGAGATTGCACTCCAGGGCCTCCCGCTTGACCTCCCGGGCCTGTGTAGGGACACGGGGGTGCCCTTGTGACCCATCCCTGCCCCTCCATTTCTGAGCTCTGACAATGTGCTGGACGGTAGGGGTAGGAAGGGGAGGTCAGGGAAAGCCCTATCCTCACAGGACACTCAAGGGTCAGCAGGTGAGAGGAACAGGAGGGCGCTGGGGCACCGTGGAGGCACCAGGGCTTGGACATGGCTGGTGGTCTTGTGCCTCCCACCACGGCACCTTCACTGTGGCTTGGCTTCCCAGACAGAAAAACTGGGACTCTGTTAACTAGTGAGCCCATGCTCACACTACCTCACACCAGAAACTAAAGCCCCCTCCCCCAATGGAGACTGCCCTCTACCGGAGGAGACATGAAATAAAGAAAATCACAGAAATCAGAACACAGAGGGGCATGAGGCAGGGGATGGGGGCAGATGGGTTGGGGTGCTGTGAGCAGGCCCCGTTTGGGACTCCAGACTTAGGGCCCCGACCTGGCATGTGCTCTGGAAGGCCCAGCAGACTGACTGGCTGAGAGGCAGGATAGAAGCAGATACAGACGCAGTGCTGGCAGTGGAGGTGAGAGGAGAGCCAATGGCTGACGGGACACTGGACACAAGTGAAAGCTGGAGACGCCCCGAGACTGAGGTGACTGGGAAGGGCAGGGGCAGAGTGGGCCGGACGCAGGGGGTCTGAGGGCCTTCTTAGCATTCCCGGGGCAGGGTGTGTGTGTGCAAGGACCACTGGGTGTGGGGCAGGAGGCTGGGCAGACGTGGGCCTGGCTGGGCTCTGCAGGAGGGAGCCTTGGGAGCTGGACTGGATAGGACACGGTGGAGAAGGGACAGAGGACTGAGTGCCACTAAAGGTAGAGGGCAAGGAGGAGGAAGAGGAAACGCTGCCTACTAGGGTGGCAGTGCTGCAGGGGATGGGGGCCACCAGGGTGAGGGCCCCACAGGTGGGCCTTACCTGCTGGTGGGTGAGGTGCCCCAGCTCCTTGTACCCCAGCGCCAGCACACGGGCTCCTTCCCGGGAAATCTCCGTGTGGATGTGGTGGTAGTCAGGTGGGCACTGGGAGAACTGCAGGGAATGCAGGGGGATGTCACTGAATGCCCCATGCCCCCTCCCCCCTGGGGCCGGGGTGGCTCACCATGGAGTGCAGCGTTTCAGGGGCCCCCTTCACGGCTGCCATGTAGCAGAGGTCGGTGGAGCCGAGCTTCTCATAGGAGGCGAGCACGGACATTCGCTTTAGGGCACTGGCAAAATGAAAGCGCTGGTGAATTTTCAGCCCCTGAGTTTTAATACTTCGGGGGAATACTTTCTCATCTGGAAACAAATAAGTACGAGTCCTGAGGACCTTCGCTCCACAGAGAAGCCAAGCCCCCGCCTTCCCCCTCAGTCCCTCCCACCTCCTGCACCCAGACGCAGGGCCTCTGGGAACTCCTAGAACCAGGAGGGGTCAGAGTGAGACATGGGTTGGGAGGACCCTGTCCCACGGCTTTAGGCGGGACCAGGCAGGTTCCAACCCAGGGGGACACCTAAGGACGCGGGCTATCCCAGATCAGAGGTGAGCCTATGCTCACCCACCTAGGGGACTGCCTGCCCAAGTTGGGCACACAGGTCTCTTCTGAGGGGTGCAGCCCCCGGCCTGTGGCAGTGAAAGCTGGCAGCTGGTTCCAACTGGGCCTAAGGCTCCAGCCCCTCACCTTTGGTCAGCGTCCAGTCCACAGCTGTCAGCATGGCCTTCTCGAGCGGGTCACCCACAAGGGTGCCATCATCCAGCTGCATGAGTGAGTGGCATGAGGCCAGGGCCCGGTGTGTTTCTACGGGGATGTTGGACACAGGAGTCACGTCCTTTCCATCTCTGTAAGGATGGGGAACAGCTCGTTACAGGGTAGAGGTGAGCTGGAACCCCAGGAATTGCAACCAGGGCAAGGGATGGGCCCCCACCCTGTACAGTCACTAGAGGGCCTGCAGGGCATCGTTTTGGGCCTTGTGACACCTGAGCCCTCTCATGCACACACCCAGAGGTCACGTGGCTGCCCAGGGCCCAAGGTGGGCCCCCAAGCTGCTCTCTCACACTGAGAAGTGCATGGGAAGGACCTCGGACCGGACCTCTGCAATACACTGCACACACCTCTCACTGTAGGGGCGGAGGCAGGGCAGCTCTGTCCCATGAGCTTCCAGAGGGCCCTCCACTGACGCCTCAAGGCCCAAGCCTCCCCACCCCCACTCACTTGAGCCCGGCCACTCCGCGCACCACTAGGCTGTCGCTGGTTAAGGTCCCCGTCTTGTCAAAGCAGCACACCTCCACCTTGCCAGCAAAGGGGATCCGGAAAGGCTCCGTGCAGTACATGTCTGGGAGGAGGGAGCCAGGGTCAGGGATCCTGCTAGGCCCAAGCCCACCTGGCACCCCGGCTCTGCCTCGGGCACTCACAGAGCTTGGCGAGGGCAATGAGGGAGGTGTTGACGGCCAGCGACAGCTCGATGGGCAGCTCCGGAGGCACAACCGAGGTGAGGATCAGCGTGCATTCCAGAAACAGCTTGTAGCGGTTCCGACTGGGGTCCTTGGTGCCTGAGGAGAGTGGGCCTGCCAGCCTGGGGACAGGGCCATGCGGACAGGGCCCAGGAGACGGGTGGAGGGCAGCACTGCTTACCTTCGATCCACACATAGGCAGCTGCGGCAACGGCAAAAACCAGGAGGAAGAGGATGAAGATGAAGGTCTCCAGGTTGTTTGCGGTCACTCTCTTGACCCCAAAGAGAATGGTGCGCAGCAGCTTGCCCTATGGGGAGGGAGGGACAGAGGCTTTCCTGGGGGACGGAGGTGCCTCCTCCAGCTGAAAGCGTCTGGGCAGAAGCTCTCTGCTGATGGGGAGTACTTGCCCCAGGCCCACCCAGTCCAGCAGCCAACCGCACAGCTGTTCAAGGAACCACTACGCAATGCAGGTGGCCACAGCTCGGCCAAGACCTAGGGGTTGGGGAAGGACGTGGCTGAGATGGAGGCCTGAGTTTTCTGGAAGGAGGTCTGGCCACCACCTCTACCAGACAGTACTTCAATGGAAAGCTTAAGGGAATGACTTTGCGCACAACCCCAAAATGTGTGGTTACAGCCCGTTTTGTCTGTGCTCCCCCTGAAACCACAGACAGGGGGGCAGTGGGCCTGGTCTGGGGGGGGTCACCTGTGTACCCTGGCTCGTGGCCCAGTACCTGCTGTCACAGTGAGCCTATGGGGTGGACGTTCTGGGGTCTGAAAGGGCCACTGTCTTGACTGTCTGCCACCCACCCCATGGCCCACCTCCCCAGAGCTGGGCAGGGCACCACACCTGGGACGTGTTGAACCCGGTCCTGAGGACGTAGGCCACACACCCGTTGTCGACCGCTGTGGAGATAAGCGGAGCATGCGTCATTCACGTTTGCTCCTCCTGACTCATGCACAACCAAATGGACGTGCAGGGATCAGGGGTGGTGCGGTCAGGACACCTCCAGACGCCCCCGAGGCACCTACGCTTCAGGCCCGTGGTGGCCTTCTGGGGGGGAATGTGCTGCACCACCTTGGTGCCCCCAAAGATGACGTGAAGCCGGGAGTCAGCCTGGATGTCCAGTACGCGGTCAGGGCTGAGGTCTTCAATGGGCTCCTGGGGAGGACAGTGAGGCTGGTACACCCCAGCCCCCTCCTCCATACCCCAGATCCTGAGAGCTGGCTCCCTGCCTGGACCCTCTGTAGGGTCCATACCCTCTGAGTCTGCTATCCCTGATTCCTGGCCTAGACGTCCAACCCCACCCCATGGCGTGGCCTTTCTCATCTCTTTTTCTTTCCACACTCCCATTCTGTTCTTGTTCAGGGAGCCCGGCAGCTCCTGCTACCTACTGTCTGCCCTCTGCCTCCTCTAGCCTCCTGTGCCAGGGCTGCACCTGGGTGGGGTCCTGGCCCAGCCCTCTGCTCTCTCCTGCCCCTGTGACTAGGATGGTGATGCACCTGATGGGACTGAGTCCCCTCCCCCACAAGCACCTTCATCTGCGGCACTGACTCCCCTGTGAGCATGGCCTCGTCCACGATGCAGCGGCCCCGCAGCAGAAGCACGTCGCATGGCACAAGGTTCTCCTGTGGGGAGCGGCCTGCAGGGCAGAGCAGGGGTGGCATTGGACAGCAGCCACAGGGAGGACTCCCACTTGGGCGGAGCAGGACCATGCCTCACCGATGGAGACGATGTCCCCGGGGACAACCTCACTGCTGGCGACGGGCCTCCACTTGCGGCTGCGGTAGACCTGGGCCAGAGCAGGTATGGTCAGCGCTGGCTTTGGTGTGGGCATGGTGCAGGTGCATCTCAGAACCGGTCGCAGCCCATCCCATGCCTGGCAGGGAGCTCCCTCCCATCTGGCCTCCCTGCTAGCCACACCTGGATCATGTGGGGCTTGTTGCCCATCTTCCGGATCTCTGACATGTTCCGCATCTGCTGCTGCACCAGGGAGGCCTCGAAGGCCACCAGCATGGACAGTGTGAAGACGCTGTAGTACCAGTACTCGTCCAGACACCAGAGCCCCACGCAGAACACCTGTGGGACGTGGCCTGTCTGTCCATAGAGGCGCCACCCAGGGACTGTGGAGTCGGACTGCTCACAGGCTCAGACCCATGAGGACAGAGGTTTTCAGGTTTGGGGGTGACAGTGGCTTGGGCTCTGAAAGCCCTGAGGAGTGGAATGGGGGGAAGGGCTGCAGCTGCAGCTTTACCTGGAACACAAAGAAGGGCGCCGTGGCTCTTTCCTTGAACAGCTCTGAGAAGTCGGGCACCACCATCTCAGCCCTGCAAGATGACAAACCCCCACCCTGTTCATGGTGGGGGGTCCCACAAGCCTCCCCAGGAAACAAGGAGCCAGACGGGACACTCTGCTCGACTACTGCCTCCCTTGTCCCACGGCACCAGAGCAGGCATGCTGACTGCGGCCCCCCCGCTCCACAGAACCTGGATGAAGCTTCTGAGTCAGTACCAGGTTCCTCAGGCAGACGCCCACCTGAGCACCACTGGGATCAGACAGAACCTGTCATCAGGCTGGGTGACAAGGCGAGCAGAGAAGGGACACACGGCTGTGGGGCAGAAGCTGTGAAGGTGCGCAGGGTTGGCCTGGTAGCCGGGCATCCGGAGTCCCCAGGGGCCTGAAACACAACTAAGCCCCGCATTGGCGAGGGCCGCTCTGCAGCCAGAGTTCTCTGAAACTCCCTCAATAAAGGCCCTGGAATGGGCAACCAGGGGCCTAAGGGTGTGCTGTGTGGCACCGTGTAGTGGCCCCGTGTAGCTAGGAAACTGGCGATGTCAACTAGGGTCATCTACAGGCTCTGAGGGTTTTCAGGTTTAGAATGATGATGACGGTGCCGGGAAGGGACTCTGAAGCCAAACAACAGGGTCTTCAAGCCCAGCTCTGCCCTCTCAGTCGTATGCAGCACTGGCAGTGTCAGCAATCAGAGGAGACAGCGTGTGCAGGGTGTCTGCCATTCTAGCCACTACAAAGGAGAGCTACTGTGATTGCTGATCCATTTTTTTTTTTAGCACCACTCCTAAAGTACCAGGATGGGGATGAGGAGAAAGGAGACAGCTTAGGAAAAGGTTAGAACAAAGAGATGCAACAACAGAGTGAGGACTAACAGCCAACTCGGTGGCTGTGGGCCAGGTCCCACAAAGACTGTACGTGTCACAGTGAAGGTGCCCACCTAGGGCTCCGTCAGCAGGCAAGCTCTGGAGAGACCAGACTAGAGCACGCTTCTCAGAGGGCACCCGCCACCTTCTCCTGGGACGCTCTCTAAAAAGGCAGACCCTCCTTCCCACATCCCAGGCACCCTAATGTGGGTGCAGCAGGGCACAAACAGGAGAGGAGCCTCAGACTCAGCCAGGCACCTGGGCTTTTGACCACGGGAGAGCCCCAGCCCTCTGGGCAGGGATAGCACACGGGGACACGGTGACTCACTTGTTGCTCCCAAACTTCTTCTCAGCCATGCGGATCTCCGAGTCCTCCTGGAACCCTCTGTTGGTCTGGTAGAACGAGAAGGCATTTCCAACAGGAAAGGCCACAGGAAGGAAGCGCTTCTTCTCCAAAGCATCATAGGAATACTTGATCTTCTGGAATTCAAAGGACAGCACCTCCTGCCCGTCCTCACCCTGTGGGAGAAGGTGTGGCTGTGGCAGGGGCCCCTAACCCAGGGTGTCAGTGCCTGGGTATCCCACCCAGGCCCTGTGCTGGGTGGTCCCTACCTCATTGCGGTGCAGGGCCACGAGCTCAGTGGAGCCGTTGTTGGGGGTCGGCACCACCTTCACAAAGGTCGCTTTGCTGGAGTCGTATTCCTGCGAGAGGCAAAGTGCTACTGCTGAGCCCTCCTCAGCCCCCTACTGGGGAGGATGTGGGTGCAGAGGCTCTGCAGATATGTTCTGGAACATGGGCTCCCAGCACGCTCTTGGTCACTCCACAATCTGTCACTAGGACAAGGGATACCATCTCACTGTGTGTCTGGTCCCGTATCATAAAGCTGAGGTCACAGACAGGACCCAACGCCCAGGGCTGTGCTGACGGCAACTTGAACTCCAACGGAAAGAACACTGCCCCTGTGAGCATGTGAGCTGAGCCCCGCCACAGCCTGCCTGGCCTCTGGCTGCCCCACCTCCCAACTTACTAGTCATGTCTTGTCCTGGAGTGATGAGGGACGATGAGGCCCATCTTTGCCTCAGCTAAGAGCCTTGGCATAAGCCATTTCTCTGCCCAGAACAGGTGGTCACACAGCTGGCTTCAGGCATTTGTGCAAATGTCACCTTCTCAGGAGGCTCCCCTGGACAGCCCAATCTACATTCCCCTACAACGTGCCCGTCCTTGTCCTGATTTGCCCTCTTTAGCACCGACTGCAGAGTGTGACTTCTATCTCCCCTACGAACACCAGGAAGGCAATGGTATTTTTGTGCACCAGTTCCTTCAGCACCTGAGACATGGAGGCACTGAGTGGAGCTTAATTAGTGCTTCCACAGTCCTGAGCTGCATCCCCCCCACCGCTGCTCTGGCATGTGATGTGTGTGTCTGAGAGTTGGGGTGGTGGTGGGGTGCCATAGCAGTGACCCTAAGAAACAGGTCCACCCCTTGGGGAGTTCACAGGCCACTGAAGGAGGCAGAAAATAACGACAAAAACACAACAAGGAGCTTTGGTAAAACGCAAGGGGAGAAAAGTGCAAAGTGTTACACAGGGCCGGACTCAGGCCAGGTGCTTGCAGATGTCACCTGGGTTTCTTCTCACAGTGGTGTCCTGAGGTAGGTGTTACAGTTCTCACTTTACAGAAGGGGAAAATGAAACCCAGATCTGCCCTTCCTAACCCCAAGGCAGCTTGGCGTCTCCTTGTTCTCGATACCCGGAGAGAAAGTGGACAGTCATACTTTTTAGCTGCAGGACCAAAGGCAACTGGAAGTTTGGGGGTGGTGGTGGTGCTGTCACAGTTCCCCAACTCTCCTTCACTTGACTGACCCTTACTGGGGTCTTTCATTGTACAGACTTGAAGCCACCAAGCCCAGACATTTTGAGTCCCTCCCCTGGAGGTAAGGCTTGTTGGGATAAGGGAGATTTCACTCTCTAAGAAGAGAAAGAAAATTTAACCCACATTCAGAGTCAAAGGGGGAAGAGGGGACTTTGCACTCTTTCAACAGCCTTAGGGCTATGCTTTCCCTCTTCTTCCAACACACACACCAGGGGCCAGAGGGGAGGCTGGCTGGAGGCTGACCTCGGCGCCCCTGGCTCCCAACCTGCTGGTGTCACCTGAGTCAGACCCAGAGGGTGGTGGCGCAGTCATCACACCAACTGCTGACCCAGGGCAGCTCTCACTCATTCCGATCTCGAGTCTAAGGGTCACACCTGCGAAGATGTACTCAGACAGCAGTTCTGTTCCCTACCCTTATAAAACTCCAAGCGGTTAAACCACTTGCCTGCAGATAGCTCCTGCTTCTCTTAAAGGCTGCAATTATCGGCATTTCAAGCTCACAATGGGGGAGGGCCTCTGGGCACTGGGCAGCGGAGTTCTCAAAACCTCCTCCAGGTCTAGCCTCACGCTTTGAAAACGAAAGTAGAAGACAGATAAGAAGGAAGACAGGATTGTTTCCATGAGAAACAACTGAGCAGTAACGGCGACCTAGCATTATTTAACAAGCCCCATCAAACAGCGACATATGCCGAGCCCTACGTTAAGTGCCTTTTTACAGGTATCACCTTACCGTATCTGAACGACCAGGGAGGAACCTCAAAAAAGGGGGCGACCTGCACAAGCAAGTCAGCAATGGGACCAGGATTTAGCCGACGCTAAAGGGGTAGAAAGGCGCCGCTGGGGGCCCGTGGCTGCGACCCGCGGCGAGGCCCGACGGTGGCAGGGGTCGGGCTCGAGCCCGCGCACTTACCGGGGTGCAGGTGAGCGCGCAGTGCGCGTGCACGGACCAGTGCCCGGAGAGGACGGTGAGAGCGTGCACGAGGCAGATGGTGGCGAGCACCAGCAGCGCGGCCTCAGGGACCTGCGCCCAGCTGCTGTCCCAGCCCCAGCAGCCAGCGGCCGCGGCGCCCAGCCAGGCCGGGTAGAGCAGCCCCGCGAACGGCAGCACCGTGAGGCGCCGTAGCAGAGCCAGCCGTCGGTACGGCCACACGGCGGCCACCAGCTCATCGCCGCTTGCTATGAGCGCCGGCCCGGCGGCAAGGAGCGTGCGCGGCTGCGGCCTGGGCTTGGGATGCCCGCCGGGCCGGGCCCCGCAAGGCACCGCGTTAACCGCCGCCGCCACCGCCATCTTTCCCTGCGCCGTGGTCGCTTCCGGGCAGAGGCACCGCCTCACTTCCGAAGTTTTACTTCCGGCGAATCCTGGGAGCCGCTAGTGCAGCCGGGAGGAGGGAGAGCCGTGGCGACGTAGAGAGGCTGGGTCCCAAAGAGGCTACCGGGGCGCCTCCACGACGGGCTGCACCCAGAAGGGGAAGCAGGGCGCCGCCATGACGAAAAGGCTCGAAAAGCCCAAGGCCGCCTGCCCGCCCTGCCACGCAGGACTGAGACCGGAAAAGGCTGGGCGAGGCGGGCGGGGCGCTACCATGGCAACCCAAACCGAAGAGACGAATCCTCGGAGCCTCCTCGGCGTGGGCCGGCCCGGGTCGTGAGGGGCGTGGCCTGGACGCTGAGGGGCGGGGCCAGCAGGGAAGGGCCCGCGTCCTTGGGGGCGGGCCTGTTATGAGGGCGGGGCTTGCGAGGAGCAGGGGTCCCGGGTGAACATCCCCAGTTCGGCGGGGTCTCCTCCTTCGGGGTCCTGGGCCAGGGGCGCTGGCAGGCTTAGACGGGCAACGCAAGACACAGCCATGGCGTAGTGGAAAATAACGACACACACAGTTCACTACCTTAACCAAAGTATGAAAAATTGGTGTTCATTTGAAATGACATAATGTTGTGCATTGGGGACTATCCTGCTACCGTTTGAACAAAGCCACAATAGGACTAATTAACAGTGACAATTAGTAGTACTACTTAAAGAAAAGTACTACTTAGTTATAAGTACTGCTTGAGAAAAACATGTAACAATATTTTTATATTTCTGTCCTGTGATATAGCAACTTATTTGAACTTTTTTTCTTTAAAAATTTTTTTAGCATTTTTCAAATTAAGATATTATTGATATACACATATGAGGGTTTCACATGAAAAACAATGTGGTTACTACATTCACCCATATTATTGAGTCCTCCCCATACCCAACTGCAGTCACTGCCCATCAGTGTAGTAAGATGCCACAGAGTCACTATTTGCCTTCTCTGTGCTACACTGTCTAACCTCATAACCCACCCACATCATGTGTGCCAATCATAATACCCCTCAATTCCCTTCTCTCTACCTCCCCACCCGCCCTTCCCCACCCCTCCCTTTGGTAACTGCTAGTCCCTTCTTGGAGTCTCTGAGTCTGCTGCTATTTTGTTCCTTCAGTTTTGCTTCGTTGTTATACCCCACAAATGAGGGAAATCATTTGGTACTTGTCTTTCTCCACCTGGCCTATTTCACTGAGCATAATATCCTCCAGCTCCATCCATGTTGTTGCAAACAGTAGGATTTGTTTCTTTCTTATGGCTGAATAGTATTCCATTGTGTATATGTACCACTTCTTTATTCACTCATCTACTGATGAACACTTAGGTTGCTTCCATATCTTGGCTATTGTAAAAAGTGCTGCAATAGGGGTGCATCTGTCTTTTTAAATCTGAGAAGTTATTTTCTTTGGGTAAATTGATAGGATTGGAATTCCCAGGTCAAGTGGTATTTCTATTTTTAGTTTTTTGAGGAACCTCCATATTGCTTTCCGGCAATAGTTGAACTAGCTTACATTCCCACCAGCAGTGTAGGAGGGGGGTTCGCCTTTCTCTGCATTCTCGCCAGCATTTGTTGTTCTTAGTCTTTTTGATGCTGGCCATCTTAACTGGTGTGAGGTGATATCTCACTGTGGTTTTTATTTGCGTTTCCCTGGTAATTAGTGATGCGGAGCATCTTTTCATGTGCCTGTCAGCCATCTGAATTTCTTCTTAACAACCTGCTTTTTGGATTGTAGGAATTAGTTTACATAAACAGGCTTGTTTTGTAGACCAGATATTTGTTAACTGGGTCTTTGCATCTCTAAATTCACCATATACTGTCGTTCCCACAATGTTCATTATTTTTGAACACTCCAAAGCACATTGGATGTCATAAACTAAACCTCCCTTTCTGAGGGAGACTGGTTTTAAAGTGTAGAGGTAATTCGAAGTTGTGAAACCGAAGTTGAATTCCAAGCAGTTACATTTTTAGGAAAGATGGAGAACATCCTGTTTGCGCTTTTCTGAGGACATTTTGAATACTTAAAAAAAATGAATCATTCGGATGGTTAGCCAGAGACAGGTAAGATTCCTCAAGGGAGGAACAACCTAAAACAGGCACAGTCACAGGGGGGCCATCAGGTGAGAAATTGGGGATCAACAGAGGCGAAGCTTAGAACCTCACCCCCCCTGTTCTGAGAGAAATCTTCTGCATCTGTGGATGTTTTGTTGCCCTTGTCTAGCCTGGATTAATACTTAGTCTATAGGCACAGACCTGATCATCTACATTTGCCCTCTTACAGCACTAAATTATGCTTTCTACCTTTATCTTGCATCTACCTACCACTTCAGCATTTTATTTAAAAAAATAAATAAATAAGGGAGAAATGTGGGATTCACATATAAATCAAGTATAAAAATCAAATGAATAATCATATCTGACTTGATTGTTCATAGTTCATGATGTGTGATCAAAACCGAAAGTTTCTGTGATATGACTGCCCTTGCACTGTTCACCATGTAAGAACTTATTCACTATATAAGAACTTGTTCGTTATACTTCAGAAGATTGGAGGCTGTTGAGAATTAGGCTTGGGGTTGATTAATGTTTGTGCATTGAGTCCCCTATACAGAATTTTATTGTTATTAACAACCATTTGATCAATAAATATGAGAGATGCCCTCTTGAAAAAAAATGCGTCATTTTTTTCATTGTGTGAGCTTTTGTCATCGAACAATGTCGGGGCAGTCAGTTCACCCTTGTCCAGGCTCCTTCCAAGGTCCAAGAGTTCTGGAGAAACAGCATGTACAGTTCTGCTCTACTGCAGTTGTTTTCTCCATTCTAATCTTCAGTGCATTTCCAAATTAGAGAAGGACATTTCTCTTTTCTCACACTTTGAAAATATGATTTTATGGCAGACCAACTTAAGAAAAGAAAATCTTAATTTTATTAGAGCAATTGTAAGTTCAAGCAAAACTGAGAGAAAGGCATAGTCCTATGTAGCTGACCCTTGAGCAACGCAGGTTTGAACTGTGCTGGTCCACTTGTACACGGGTATTTTTTTCAATAAACACATGGGAAAAACTTGAGATTTGTGACAATTTGGAAAAACTTTGTTTTCTCTGGCTTGTTTTACTGTAAGAATATAGCATATGATATATGTAGCATACAAAATACATGTTAATTGACTGTATTATCAGTAAGGCTTCCAGTTAACAGTAGGCTATTACTGTATTGTATGCAGGTTTTTGATGGCACAGGGTTGGTGCTCCTAAAACCTGCATTTTTTGAGGCTCAACCATATATTCTCTGCCACCACACATTTATACTATCAACATACCTAATTATCAGCATTCCTCACCTCTGCCACCAGTGTGGTACATGGTTACAAAAAACCCCAGTGTGGGCAGTTCACCCTAGTGTTTCTGCTTGGTACTGTACAGTCTGTTGGCTTGGACAAATACAGGACGAAGTGTATCCACTCCACTTACAGGGTAGTTTACTGCCTGTCATCCCTCCTGGCAACTGCTGACCTTTTTACTATCTCCAGAGTTTTGCCTTTTCCAGAATATCACAAAGTTGGAATTACATGTCATGTGGCCTTTTCAGATTGATTTCTTTCACTTAGTAATACACATTTAAGGTTCCTCTGTGTGTTTTCACAGATTGATAACTCATTTCTTTTTAGGGCTAATACTGTATTGTCTGGATGTACATTAGTTTGTTTCTCCATTCACCCACTGAAAGACATCTTGGTTGCTTCCAAGTTTTGAATTATGTAGGTTTTTCTTTTTTTTTGATGGCAGCATGGTGACATTTAGTTAATTAATTTCCAACTTTATTGATATATAATTGATACGTAATGTGTACAATACAGTATTGCTAATTATGGTCACCATGCTGTACATTAGATACCTAGAATTTACTCATTATAAAACTGAAAGTTTGTACTCTTTGACCAACTTCTCTCCATTTACCCCACACCTCAGCTTGACAACCACCATTTTACTATGAGTTCCACATGTAAGTGTGATCATCTGGCATTTGTCTTTGTCTTCTTTCATTTAGCATAATGCCTTCAAGGTTCATCCATATTGTTACAAAAGTCAGGATTTCCTTCTTTATGACTGAATAATATCTTTATGTATCCCACATTTTCATTACAGGTAATATATCACATTTTCTTTATCCATTCCCTGGTTGATGGACACATAGGTTGTTCCCATGTCTTGGCTATTGTGAATAATGCTGCAGTGAACACGGGTGTGCAGCTACCTCTTTGAGAGTGATTTTATTTTCTTCAGATACATACGCCAAAATGGGATTACTGTATCATATGTAGTTCTACTCTTAATTTTTTTTGAGGGCCCTCCATGCTGTTTTCCATAGTGCCTTTACCAATATTTACATTCTCACTGACAAAGTACAAGGGTTCCATTTCCTCCACATCCTCACCAGCATGTGTTATCTCATGTCTTTTTGGGCCATTCTGAGAGGAGTGAGGTGATCCCTTGCTGTGGTTTTGATTTGCGTTTCCCTTATTAGTACTGTTGAGCACCTGTTCACCTGCTTGTCTCCTGTTCACCAATTCCGTCTCCTGGGGGAAAATGTCTGTTCAAGCTCTCTGCCATTTTTTACTTAGATAATTTTTTTTTGTTTGCTATTGACTTGTAGAGTTCCTTATATATTTTGAATAACCACTTATCAGGTAGGTGATTTGTAAATATTCTCTCCCGATCAGTGGGGTGCCTTTTCATTTTGTTGATTGTTTCTTTTGCTGTGAAGAGCCTTTGGGTTAACCGAGTCTCCCTTGTTCAATTTAGCTTTTGTTAATTAACGATATACCTAGGTATAATTTTTTTTGGCATTAATCCTCTTTGTATGCTATGAGCTTCCTGGATTTGTGCTTTGGTGTCTATGACATTGCGATTTAAAATAAGAAACACATATTTGGTCTTTGTTCTCATTTCTGTGGCAGTGCTCCTAAAACCCTTGAATTTCCTAAGTGATGAGGAATAAAAAAATGTCTTGAAAGGAGTTTCAACCACCCTTGAGTCTATGTTAATGAGGAAAGCACCCAAGGATGGGGGCTGGTTGCCAGGGGAATGAACCCCATGACTGGAGAACTGTAACTTTCAGTCCCACTTCCTGACCTCTGGGGATGGGGGAGAGGCTGGAGAGTGAATCAGTAGCCGATGATGAATGATTTAATCAATCATGCTTACA